ATGTATATCTATATGTATATGTATATCTATATGTATATCTATATGTATACGTATATGTATGAATATTTACGTATAATGTGGCGTGTCCCTTGTGGTATGTATCAGGAAGGGCTTAATTACATTAATTACGTGATAACATACGGTACACACTCACTCACACACGTACACACACACACACACAGACGCGCACACACACACAGACACACACACACACAAAAATATATATATATATATGTATATGCATACACACACATATATATATATAATTATATATACAATTATATATATATATAATTATATATATAACTATATATAATTATATATATATATAATTAGATATACAAATATATCATCCCATGAAAACCCAAATACCAAGTTCGCTTCCATGAAGGAAATCAGGAATCTAGGAGAACAACCTTAAAGAGCACCTTACAGCATACCTCCTCTGCAAACCTTGAAGAACTTGATATGGAATACAATAGGTAATACCTTATACAATCCACAATAGAATACTCCCTACATACCTTGTATACACCTGATTGAATATCCTATATCCTATAAAACACCTTACCAAATACCTTCTAGAATACCACCGATATTTAGTTTAGGAATACTATGTAGAATACCTGTCAGAAAAGCAGTTAAATAAGAAAAATCAGGAAGAGCCCAAGATCTGAGAACTCCCCTGTTGAATTGTAGCTCATTGAGCAAGAGATCTTCGAACAAATCAAAGCTTTTTAAACAGAGAATACCTGAATACCTTATAGAATACCCCCCTAATCATGCCCTATTGAATTCATGTTGCAATACTTTGTGGAATAACTTGTATTGTACGTCTCAGAACACCTTATACAATACATATACCGTGTATATACGTTGTGGAATACCATCAGGACTACGCTGTAGAAAACGTTATAGAAGACCCCGTATATATGACACTCCCTGTATACCTTACATATGCGTTATAGAATGCCTTCTAGAGCACACTAAAGATAAGGCTTCATATAGGGAATATCAGGAGGAGCGCAAGATCTGATAATTTTTCTAGAATACCACTCATAAATGCTTTCTAGAATACCGTATAGAATGCCTGATACAATGGCCCATAGAATGTCTTATAGAATATTTTGTAGAATATTTTATATGATACCCTTACATACCCTGTATATGTTGTAGACACCCTCTGCAATGTTAAATATGCCCTTAGAATACCCCGATAGACCACCTTATGCATAAGGTTTTATTCAGGGAAAATCAGGAGGAACCCAAGATTGAGAATTCTCCAATCAAATTGTAGCTTGCTGAGTAATGGATTTCTATGAAGGAAATCAGACATCTAAGAGACTAACCTATAGAATACCTTACGGAATACCCTTGCTATATGCTTTAAAGAACTTCATATAGAATAAGCGAAGTAATGCCTAACAAAATACACTACAAATATATGTATCTGCATATACCTTAGTGAACACCCTATAGCCTATAGAATACTTTCTCGAATACCACCTATACCCGATAGAATGCCTTATGCAATACCTTATGGAAGTCTCTATGGAATACCCTGCAAAATAGGGTATTCTCATAGAATACCTTATATCATACCCCTTTTATATGGGTTATTGTAGAATACGATCTGCAATACTCGAAAGAATACGTCAGAAATACTCCCTATATACGATACCCCCTGCTTTCCTTAAATCTACCCTATTAGGGAAGGACGTAGTTTTATAGGGAAAATCAGGCGGAGCCCAACATCTGACAATTCAACAATTAAATTGTGGCCTGTTGAGTAAGGGATATCGAAATAAGGAATCTAGGAGAATGGCCTATATACTAATATTGATTTTAATACGAACACTAATACTCTCACGAAAACTAGTACTCATAGCAATGTTAGTATTATGAATACTAGGTTCAAGGGTCGAAGTCTACCGCTGCGTTTTGCATATTTTAGGAAGACGTGTAATACGTTTGTATGGGTCATAAGGAAGACGATTAGAAAGTTGCAACATGGAAATACACGACTCGTTCTAAGCATCTCTAAAACTTCATTTCTTAACTAACCCAATACTAATATCAAGACCTAGACAGACACAAAGACAAACAGACAGACAGACATACACACAGACACGCACACATGTCTCGTGTGATGCAGACGGCGTGTCCGTCTGCCTGCATTTGCACAAGCATGTCTAGGCTTCATCCCTTCCGATGTCAGGGACACTGACATGTGTGACCGGACCTGGTGAGATGTTGCTTCTGCCTGACGAGTGGATCCATGCCACCTGTGGCCTCACAGACACTTGGCCAAGCCGTGCTCCTGCTTCGACACAACCTGCTGGAAGTACAGTGGACGACGGTTGACAGGCGCAATGTTTCAACTGAATCCGTCTAAGGAGTTCACTGCCGCTGCTGGTGGTTGGCTGGCATACCACGACGACTAGTGAGCGATTGCTTGGCAGCCTGTGCCGCGTTGTTCCCGACACCGCGACAAGCACGCAGAGCATTTTAAATTGGACGCATTTGCCAGCCTGTAAATAAGCAGTATGCAACCCTCGTTTCAGGACGAGCTCTGGCCTGTACTTAGCATGGAACAGTCGCAGTTGATGTGCTGCGGAACCCATGCCTTCGAAGGTAGGACACGGGTGCACAACAAGACTCTGCATCCTGCAGCTGCAGGGAAACTTACTCATAGTTGCTCAGTGGAACTTGCTTCCAGCTGGAGTCTTCATGTGCTTTCGCTAATCCGCGGAGTGCTCGTTCGGGCGAAGCGGCTTTGGAGCTGATCTTTTTCGACTTCTGCAGATGTGGAGAATTAGCATTGACACGGCCCCTGTGTATTGCACTGTGCGTTTTGAAGCCACGCTTTCCGATGCAGCTGCAGCTTCAACAAGAAACCTCCAGAGATTGAGTCTTGTCAGATTGCTGGTTGTCAAAGAGACCGTTAAGAGCCCGTGGAAGGCTAGCACGACCCATCTAGTTCGCAAATAAACAAGTCGTTTCCAGTTGTGCGCCATGCCTTTGCTGCAAATGCATGAAAGTCAGCTTCTGGCTTGGCTCGCAGTGCTGCTGTGGTCGTGCCTTGGCTGTTATTGTCGAAAGTACCGTAGGCACAGAGCCCAGGATCTTGCTAGGGGGAGCCATAGCTTCCAGATCATAGGTTTCCGTCTTTCGCATCGCTTGCTTCGTCTACTGTGCGACACCGGTGCTGCTGTAGCCCGACCAGACTGAGGCAGGTGCACTCCCAGCCACAGGGTGCGCATCCGTCCACGTTCACACTGGATGGCTTGGTGCTTTCTGGGACAGATGACCAGCAGAATGACCAGCCCATCTACAAGTGCCCTGGCCCTGGTCAGGAAAAGCATTTGAAATTCTATGTAAAAGCTGCAAAGAACATCCTTCTGATGCCGTGTGCAGGCTCTTCGAGCGAGGATTCTTTTCCGCTGTGCAATCTGCAGATTGCCAGCATGCTGATGACGGGGGCCTCCAGTGCCGTGAAATTAGAGGACATCCGAAGCTGCATTGGCACGTCTTGAGTCTTACAATCCAGAGTTCTTAGATGTTCTTAGGAGTTTGGCCATGCCTGTCTTAGCGGGAGCTTCCGGGTAGCCACTCCGGGGAATACTGTCTTCGCGAGGAGGCTTCGATCCTGGGAGATGGGATCAGCTGATAGAGCAAATGTGGAAGCTCGTAGGGCACGGGCACCCAAGCTGAACTGGAGAGAACTTATTTCTGCTCCCAGGGGTTACAATTCGAGAAAAGAAGACCTAAGAGGTACAAGCACCCCTCGATGGCCCATGCGCTGGCCATGTCCTTGTACTCGTGGTTCTGGTGGGAGGGGCCTGGTAGTGACCGAGCCGCTCGGCGCCTTACCTCGGCTCTGCAGTCCTTTTTTTCAGGTTCAGGGTGTCCCATGTTTGGCTTCCAAAGAGGCTTTGCATGGCTGGCTTTGCCTCCGACATTCTTTGGGAAGACTGTGCACTGATCTTCGATGATTTGCAGATTTTGCCCCACGGAGTCTTGCGAGGTGAACATTGTGACGGGCCGTCTGGCCTGTGACTTCTTTGCAACATCGCTGAGCTTCAACAGCTGCGTGGATCCCAATCTTCCACTGCAACATGGCCGCGAAGCCAAGCAAGCCCCAATGCCTGCGGCAATCTTGAAGCTAAGCCGGAAGCCTCAACTACAACAAATGCAGACAAGGCGGTTCCATCCTGTGTAAGAAGTACGCAGGAACTGGACGGGGCTATAACGCAACATGGCACTTTCTGGCCTTGAGGCAGGATTTCTATCAGCGAAATTGCCACATGCGATGGCGGTACTTGCTAATGCCTCTCAGCAGAAAGCTGCAAATCGGCCTAGTGTGGAAGCCAACTCGGAAGGGCCCATGAATCTTTCACATAGAGCCGAGAATCCCCGAAGCATGACCAAGGATTGCAAGCGAGCTTGGCAGGTATCTCGCGGTCGTCCAGCTGGATGTTCGTGCAGCCACCGAAGTATTGCAGTCTGCTCAAAGATACTTCCAAGTCATGCGGCAGTTACCTGCCTTTGGCCCGCATGCAGGCTGTGGGATACAGAACGCTGTGCCGTGAGTACTGTAGTCATACTTCTGGAGGGCATCATGTCCGTGCGTCCTGCAGATAAAGGCAGCAGTAACCAGCGAGCTCTTCAGACGACTTTGGCGAAACCGCAGGAAAGCTGACCTCGCCTCACGACATCAGTCTGAATGCCGACTACTTCCCTGCCCCTCGGCTTCGCGTAAATTTTTAGGCGGCGCTGGAGCTAGTAGTGACATCTCCTGAGCACCAAAGGCGTCCGTGGTCAATCAGGGCCCTATCTGGAAGAATGCCAGAGAGCAGGTGGGTTTTGGGCAGACTGTCCGTGAGATTACTTCGACGTTGTCGCGTTATGGATTTGGCAGGTCCCGATTGTCTCCTTCCTGGAGGAAAACTTTCCGACCATCCAAGCCGAACTGTGCCCCGGCGCCGTTTTCTTTGCATGATGCAGATTCCAAAATCGGTCGCGCGGCATGATCCATTTAGGTTGACAATCCTCGGTGAGGAGCACCGCTTCAGCTTGATGAATCAGGCATTGCCAGTCTAGCAAGTCCACTAGCTGCAAGCACCTCAGCTGCAAGGCCACTCGGAATGCCGAGCCTCAGTTTGGGCCTCGCGATGACGACTGGCTCACTGCTTACCTGGTGCGCGGTGCTGAGTTCAACGAGATGGTGTGCGCTCATGCGCCTCGGAGACTTGGGTTGAGCCAGTCCCCGTTCTACTCCCAATCTTACAAGAATGACCCAAAGACCCACCATCATGTCCAAGCCGAGGACTTGTGCCTTGCTTCGCACTCGGCCAGAGCTCGCCGACGCTTCGATGTCTCTGAGTTTGGCTGCATCGGCCGAGAATATCTGCAACTCCGAAGGTAGCATGCCTCCCGTGGCCAGCTAAGGAATGCCACTCAGGTCTCTCCGGATCGGGCTTCTTGCGGATGCGACCAGGAGGCTCAAACTTCGGTCGTCACAAGGGTGTCAAAGAAATGTGTCCATGTCCATGCAGATGTTTCCTCATTGGTTCGAGTGACCTGGCTGGTCCTCTTAGAAGACTGTGAATGAAAGCCTGACGAGATCCGTCGCATGTCGTTCAGATGGGCCAGGTTGCACAGTGAGCTGAGTTTAGGCCAGCTCTCTGAGCTGAAAGGCTCAACTCAGCCTATGTGTGCCACACTCCTCCTTTTAAGCGAGAGGCCGGTTAAAGCCGCACTTTGGTGGTGCGCCGAGGCTGAGTGTGACTTGGCTCATCCAGTGAGGATCCCCCATGGATGCCCTGTGGCGCTGAGGTGGCTGTCGGGGTAGCCAGGGGCAGTAGTCAAGAGCAGGTCTTACCAACTCTCCCCCATCAAGCGTTTGTACGATTGTTGCACAAAGGTCACCCGCAAACTCGGTCCTTTTGATCCTTTTGGATAACATCTTGGAATTGCATATTTATTTCTGGGGCAGCCCAGCGGCTACTTCTGTCCTTGCATCAGTCGAGGCTCACTTGGCCCTGCTCGTCCCGGATGGCGAGGTGTATATGTCTGTGGGGTCCGACTCTTTGCAATCTAAAGAATGACATCGTTGCCGCTCCAGCGTCCAGATTCCAGATGTTGAAACCTGTAAAGTCGCCGTAAAGTCGGAGCTGCAGCCAAGGAGACGACTCGGTGGGTGGAAGGCCAGGTGATCACTTTCGACGACACCTTCATTCATAGTGTGACTCACAACGGAGACCAGCCGCGTTCCTGGGCAAGCGCTGGGGGTTCGGATGTGAGCGTGTCTTTCTTCGGATGTGGTCCCGTGCACGTTTAGCATTTTCTTTCTGAGCATGCACTTCGCATCCTTGCGCTGCTCCGATGCTGAGGTTATGTGCTGAATGTATGGATGTGCCACCCCTGCGACCCCACCGAAGGACATGGTGGAGCAGGCCGCACAATCCCAGCCTATTGCGAAACTTGGGCTGGACTCAGAAAGCTCGAAGCTTTGGAGTTGAGAGCTGAAGGCTATCGGCCAACCATGGCCAACCTGCATCCTTGAGATGCAAATATGCAACGACTGCGAGCTGAGGACGGGCCCGAGCACGGGGTTCTCCCTCCTGATATGGCAAGATGATCCTTTCTGCTTCGGGTCGCGTATGCTGGTGTACTACACTACTTGGCTGAGTGACAGCATTGCTGGAAGTGTAACATCACGATCCGACCTCGGTACGTTTGCCATGGCGCGAGTTTTCAGACTTGGAGCTGCGCCTTCTACCTCACTGTGCCGGCAGAAACGGTTAGCTGACCGTAACTCAACGCCCCGGACCAGAGATTGAGAACTTCGATCGGGATGCCGGATGAGCTTCTGTGTTGAAGAATTTTTGTCCACTTCCTGCTGCCTTCTCGATGGTCGGAGCTGCTTTTCCGACAGTTATTTTGAAGGCTGCTTGGGAGATGGCTATGCCAGCGGCGCCACGGGAATTTCCGGGAGAAGAGTCGTCTGCAAAGCGCAGATATTCTGGATGTCCAATCGTTCGCAGCAATGCAAGAACTTCTCCAGGAGGCATTCCCGTCTGCCACGCATAATTGAACCTGCATAGTGGCATAGCGGCATTTACCAGGACCAGCTGCCACTGCTACGATGTGAAAGCTGGCTTCCTCTTGCTCGCGTCGGGATGTGAGCAGTCCAGCAAGCCGAGCACAAAAGTTGACCCCTCGTCGCCCGCCGTGTCACGTAGGAATTTGCGAAACACTTCATCGTCGATGCCTGTCAAGAGGGCAGTGCCCATCCGGACTAGTACCTTCTTGGGAGGTTTGCCAGAAGATGTGGCAGAAGGAGGAAGCCGAGAGTTCATTCGGTGCTGTCTTGGCCTGTGCTAGCCGCCTGCGATGCGTCGTGGCGAAGCCTCAAGTGGCTCAAGGTAGACTGCCAGGTCAACAATCAAGCTCTTACATGTTACTGCAACATAAACGCGCCACTTGTTACACAAACCTTGCCGAGTATCATCTGTAGCACCTTTTCACGTGCTGTAGAACGCGCGGCGCCTTGCTGGGCTCTGAGCCGAGGGGTGGCAAAGTTCAGAGGCAGGTTTGAGCAAGTAAGTTCCTTAAATGCCCAATCCGCTTGCAATTGCGCTACCATTCTGCAATTGTCTGGCCAATGCCTGTTCCCCTTACCTGAACAAGACGGCAAGACCGAGGTCGAACATGGCCGGAAGCACAACTTCGGGCAGTTCTCATCGAGGCGCACTGAACAGTTGGACTATATAGTATATAGCCTTATAAGAATGACTTAAGAATTCTCACTATGAAGGCAAGCCGCCTTTCGAGAGCATGTTGCATTGCCAGCTTCACAACGTCAGTTGGATTGTGGCCGTGGGTTAGTCCACGTGATGTGTGATATTGTGTGGCCTCCGACTTTAGTGAGGACTACGCGCAGGGGGCCCTATCTGGCCCTATCTTTTGCTTTGGAGCGTTTGCCTTGCCGAGGAATTCGGCTGTCCGCGGCCCAGCCCAGGCAAAACGAAGAGGTCGGACTAGCAGCTTGTTGCCGGGCATTCATACTCCCACAGTTTCGGCTCAGGTGCTTCCACTTAACGGCGGTTTTGGGGCTCGTGGACAGGGCCCCAGCTTGAGCGGGACTTGGGCTGACGGTGGTGAGGACACATACCCATCTGCACAGGCCTTGTGTCACGGCTTCCTCACCTTCGTTGGCGGAAGCGTGCGGGGCTCAAGTTTGTTCAAGAGCCAGCACTTGATTCGTCTACCCTTGCCTTTGCCATGAGTATGTAGAAAGTCGCACAACTGTCCATCCCATCTGTTTTTAAGGGCAGGTGGCTTCCAAGCCGCTCTATGCTGGTTGCTCATTGCTCTTCTCTGGCCCAGGGCCTCCGTCCTCGTGTCCCCCGAGGGCCTCGATCCGTGGTGCGTACTGCCGAGGCAGAAGAAGACTGCCATAACTTGACCGACGAAAGATGGAGGGTTGCTTTATCTGACTTTCGACATCTGTTGACAGTTCAAGCCACCGTCACTGCCTCAAGAAGCCTGTCCGAAGCTACAGAAGCTCAGGGCAGTGGCATCGTTTCCTTTACACCCTGCCTCAGGGTGGGACAACGCTGGAGAAGAAACCCAAGGCGGTGGCTCAGAGAATGGATCGGATCGAGATGCGTCAGTTGATTTCGCAGTCTTGAACCCTAGCTGGGTGCGAATGTAGAAGACGACCCCACGCCACGCGAGGTGGGAAACGAATACCGCCTGAATGTCGGTCGTGCCATTGCACGGGCCCCGATGACGAAGAGAGCATCCGGAGAGCCACATTGCAGACTGACAGACAACCTCAAGAACCACTAGCAACAGCGCTGCAGACATCGACTTGCTGCAGACTGTCGCGTTGCGGCTTTGTCGGGATATGCCGCTCGAAGGCAGACGTCTTTTGCCGTTTCCGTTGCTTGAGTGGCAGGCTTCTCCATTTAGATAAGAGGTAGCTGGTTCCACCTGGTCTCCTCCACACGATTGTGCTCCTGTCGACTTTGTACTGCCATGGCAGTCAAAAACCCTGGGACGAGCCGGACAGTACCCGTAGCCTCTCGGCCTCCATGAAGCGGCCTTCGGCCTCTTCCGCCGGAAGGCCCGCAAGGGCAACAAACGCGGGGTGATGGTCGAGATGTGCACCTTCTTAGGTCGTAGGTCGTAGGTGTTAAGATCACAGACGCTTCTCGATTCTCTCTGGCCAGCTCCTGCACTGCACCAAAGTTCACCAAAGCAGTAGAAGTGAGGTGTTTGCCTTGTGCCGTGGCTCGAGTCTGGGGCTGGCCGTCCTCAAAAGAGGAATGTCGTGCCTGCCACGGAAGCCTCGATCCACGAGCCCTCTGGAGCTCCATGCTGCAACAGTGCAGGCGAATGCCGAGGAGAGCAACAGCTCAGCCTTCCGATGCCTGGCATGTTTTCCCATGTACACCGTGCCTCTTCAAACTCTTCTACGCATGACAGCAGCTCGAGTCCAGGCTGGTTTCAACTTGCAAATTTTTCCCCACAAAGCCCCTCCAATGCATGTTTCGCCTGCAGTCCCCAGGCATTTGAGGAGTTGCTTGAGGCCGGAGTTTTGGTGGACTTTGACGAAAGCATGGGGAAGGCAATTTTCGTGTCTCACCAGTGGCTCAGCACTCACCATCCCGATCCAGACGGGCAACAGCTGAAGGTCTTACAGGATGCCTTGAAGAACCTCTTGGCTGATCGCAGCCGCATCTCAACCTCCGTTGTCACCGAGATCTTCTATGGCCAATCGCCCACCCCATCCGCGAAAGACCTGAGAACCACACCTCTCTTCCTATGGTATGATTATTTCAGCTGTCCTCAAAAATCACAGGCTGACCAGCTCAGGGCCATCAACAGCATTCCGAGCTATGTGGCCAGATGCCTCTACTTCATGATTCTCTCGCCGGCCCTCAAGCACGAGTCTCGTTCAGAGATCTTGAGCCAGTGGACGTGGGATCAGCGAGGACGGCGGAAGGGTCTCTAGATCCCAATCGCACGCTGAGAAAAAGCACCCAGTCCTCGTGCCCAAACCAACCCTGTAAGCTGCACCCGTCACAAGTGCATTTCCAAGTCTTGATGCCTTAACGATCCTGAACTATTTAGCCTTGACACTCGTCCGCGAGGATGGTGCAGAGCAGAGCGCATGGCTCGTGAGTTGGCCCCCTCATCCGGATTTGTGATTATTGTGGAGAGCGCCACGCACCAGACCCTCTTGCCAGAATTTCAGTCCTTCTTGTATTCTCCTGGAGAAGGTCGGTTTACCGTGACAGAGGACAGCCACAAAGTGGCCAGCATCGTGGTGCAGCTCATTTGGAACAAGCTGCTTCTTTGCTTGAGAGAAGGCGACTTGCACAACTATAGGTTCATTTTGAACCAACAAGCAACACGTCTTCGGAACTTGAACATCGACCCAGTCGACTTGGCAATTCCAGGCTTCAATCCGAGTCAAGATCCGTTTGTAAATCCTGAGGCGTTTGCACTTGCAAGGTTCATGCACCAGAACGGGTTTGAGGCAGTCACGCAGATAGATGAAGCTGGATGGTCACCGCTGTGTTATGCTGCTATGAATGGCAGCTCAGCTGTGGTGTCAGAGCTGTTGAGACGCAGGGCAGATGCGAACGAGTGTACACAGAAGGGTACCAAGGAGGCACAGTTTCCAAAGAAGATGACAGCTCTCTCCCTCAGTGCCTGCTTCAGAAGCAACGAGGTCATGCAGGTGCTCTTGAGTGCTCGAGCCGCGGTTAATGTTAGGGATGGACGCCGGCAAACCGCTTTACATTGGGCATGTATCTCAAACAATGCCGAGGGCGTAAGGATTCTCGTCAAAGCCGGAGCGAATGCTGAGATGTTGGCGATCACTGGACAGAGTGCTTTCCAGCTTGCTTGTTCAGCGGGCGCATTGGAAGCAATCAGTGAGATACTCTTGCAGTTTCCGAAACAAGACCTCCAATACAGCTTGCACTTCGCATTTCTTCTGGGAGGTGGCTCAGGCCACTTAGTGAGAACTCTCTTCGAGGCCAAAGCCGACGTGAATGAGCGGCTTGAGCTGCTGCAGACAAAGTACCTGCTCCTGTGGACATTGTGCAAGGCAGCCAGCTTCTCCCACAGGGTCGGTGCTTCCACACGTTTGAGGGAGCTGGCTTTCCATCACAGACGGGCCACCCCGCTAATGCCTCTCGTCGGATTGGAGAGAGACAGACACACACACACACACCCGCACAGAAAGTCTTTCAGTTCGGAAAGGCCACAGTCCCTTTTTTGGGCATCATGCCAGCTTGCAGGTTCAGTGTAATCTGCGGTGCCTTCGAAGCTACTTATGCACTACTCGCCGTTGGGGCTCGCCGAGACCTGCGGAACTCTCGCGGGAAGCCACATGGAAGCAAGAAAGGGAATGGTATGTTCCAGTCCTCTGGCCCCACGTCTCCGATTTTGCAGCAGACGCTCCTGCCCAGGACTGCCGTGGATCTCGCCGTCGAAATTTGCGCACCTCCAGCACTGGTTGCCAAACTCGATCCTGCACAGGACCACCGAGAGCACAGTGTGGAAGAGGCTTTCAGAAATTCAGCATGGTCATAGGCCATTGGTCTAGGTTTCTCTCTAGCTGCGTCAAGGTGCAGAAGGCTTCGGCCAATCTGAAGCTGGCTCTATGCAGCAGCCGACAGATCTGCAGAACACTACAAACCCGGGCATCAAACGCAGCAGCACTGTACCATTCTCGTGGCCGGATGGTTCTTCACTCGAGCCGAATCATGCAATCCTGGTGAGGGGATCATTGCCGTGTGGTGACGCCACCGCTAGCATCTTTCCGTTTATGGATCCTGCCAACAGTCCGCAGCAATCGCGCAAAACTCAAACAGCCGCTTTCGGTCTGGAGGATCCTAGAATTGCAGGAAGGAGCCCGGCTTTCGAGTGACAGTAACCGCCAGGATGGATATGCAGAACTGGAGGGGATTGATTGTCAGAGCTAGTCGAATCATGAAGAGCTTCTGCTGCGAGGAGCTTGCGGCAGTGGACGAAGAGACTTGGCCTTGGCTGAGGGTCTAAGAGTGGGCCGAGACGAGGTGGGAAGGGAACTCTGAGCAGATCGGGAAGCGTGCTCAGACAAGGTGCGCTGCCTGTCGCCAGTACGAAGAGAGGGGTTTCACAACCACCAGAACAGTTCCGAAATGTAGTATAAGCTATCAGCAGCTGCTTCATCGAGGTCAGGTGCACGTTCTGTCATCCACCCATGCTGTTGTAAGGAACCGGACGACGAGATGATTTCCGTCTACATAAGCTGACATTTGCAGCTCCTTATCTTGTGAGATGAGGCCTATGAGGCTCTGAGTAATACAAGTCTCAAAGTCATGCGGGTGATTCCCGAAGAGAAAAAAGCCCTTACCCGGCCAAACTCGGCCTCTTTACTCTTTCAGACCTCGTGGCACCAACTGCCTCCTGCCAAGCTTCTCCAATGCCTAAGCCGATTTCAGTGTGTTGTCAGCGGCCTTCGCAGCAGGTAGGCTCGTTTGTGCGACAGCGGGTATTCATTCCCCAGTTTCACTGAGAACTCTGAACACTCATCGTTTTCTAGGAGCTTGCTACTTGGGACATCCGTGCTGCGACCGCGTCAAAATCTGCCTCCAATCTCGCTGGCCGTCAACAATTGTTTGCGGGCTTCCTCATGCCACGAAGACCAACAGGCATTCGGTGAAGAAGGGATCTGCTACCGAAGGCAGACCCATTGCCCGCTTATGTGTTGCTGTGGGAGCTTGCTGCGTGGAGAGAGGGCATGCGATGCTGTCCACAGGCCGGGGCCCGGTCGACAAAGCCAACCTTGACACTGCACTAGAGACCGCCCTGCTTGCACTCGTTCAGCGCCGGGGAGTACATAAGCGCCTAGCTCGCATAGAATCGAGCGGAGAGGCCTGTCTGAGATTTTCAACTTGAGGCGTCTTCGTTGTCTACAGCTTGTGCTGCATCAAAAACAGGACCTGCTGACCCAGCGAAGTTCCGCGCTTGGAACTGAAACTTGGGGATGGCTGGTGCCTTGGATATATAAATTCGTCCGCGCTAACTCCCTTGTCTTTCAGTTGGAGCGATGCCCAGAGCCACAACCGTAAAAAAAGGAATGTTGCACTCTCATGGTTCGTTAGTCGTGCAGAGCAGCCAGTGAGCGGCATTGCTTCCATGCATTCAGTGCCTGGATGTCAAGCCATGTTATGGGAATACCTGGAAAAGCACTGCCTGGTCGAAGGCGAGAGGCCATGCCAGCAACTCATGCTGTCGTGAAGCGCTTGGCGCTGGCAGAGCCGCTTCAGCATAACTTGCAGCATGTTTCCCTTGGGCAAGCAGCTACCTGCAGCTGCAAGAGAGCATGCCAGCATTGTCAAGGCAACCACAGGTTGATGCGTTTTTTGTGTTTGCCGTTCTTTGTGTGAGATGTGGCTGACGTTCGAAGAAAGTCGCTCGTGGTAAATATTGTTTGTTCCCTTGTTTTACTTGCTGCGCACAAGAATGTATGAAATCACCGAAAACCTGTTAAGCCAAGGGTTGTTATTCGAGAGCAGCGCGGACAGCTGTCACTCGGCAAGCGTGTTGGCGCCCCTTGGAGCCCCTCGCTATTGAGCTGCCGAGCGGTCTTGCGGCAAGGCAACGTAGCAAATGAAAAGGCTAGTGACGGCTAGCGTGATCCTGTTCATCTCAGCACAGGTTGAAGCCGGACGTGGCCTCTTGCCTGACTTAGAGACAGACGATAATTTGGACGTTGTACGCCCACAGCTGGGTGGCTCGCCTCCCCATGTCTCGGTCTCGGCTTCTGACTGCCTCGACCCTGCTTAGGAGCCCCGTGGACCTTACAGAGTGCGATTGGTCGGCTGACGCCGCCGAATGACATGTAGAATGCAACATCGGAGCAACGTCCTTGAGGCTTGTTCCTGGAGCAATTCAGGCGCACAGTCGCTGTTTGGATACACTTCTGCTGCGGTTGCTGATGATGTCGCGGTTACGAATCGACCCGACACAGTTGTGGTTCACCGGTTACACATGTAGTGCCTGCTGCACGACGGGGCGGCAGAAGGGACGTAGCGATTGCCGGCTGCCGGAGCGAACGACATTCTTCCGAGACAGCCGCTGACATTGCGCAAGTGAAGTGTCAGCAAGAAGCCAAGGGCTCGGGGAGGTTAAATTGTTAAATCGCGTTCAACGAATGATGCTTCTACTCCAAGAAGCCGCTGGAGCAAAAGTTAATGTTCAGCGTTGTAGGCCTCCGCTCGTCTTGAATTCCGTCGCTGGGCTGAGTTTTGTTAAGAGCGCATGTTCAGGTCTACATCCTACCAGAACAAACTTTAGCGACTCTAGTCAGAGTTCTATCGGCGCGACGGCCCCCTGTCAGAAAGCTTTGGCATGACGGAGAAGTCGAAGCCTTGCAGTCTACTTGCCAGGGTAGTGCGGGCTTCTTGCTGGTGTCTGAGGGTCGCAGCTCAGCGATTGCACGCGAAGGGGGAAAAGCCTTTGATGTGCATCAGAGTTTATTCCCGAACTGCTTTGAGCCAACGCGGCGCATGCCTCTCCGTCCACAGCCTTTGGACCCTACACGTCCTTACCACTGGGTTCGTCTAAGCCTGTGTCAACCCCGGCTGAGGATGTCTTGCGTCGGGACATGGTCGGTGTCTTTGGCCCTGGGCCTGTGCCCCAGACTGCCATTGTCAAAGGCACGTCACAGCTGTAGTGCTGCCACAGGCAGCACGTCCCAGACTTCTCCATCTACAGCCCTGACATTGAGGCAAGGCGTTGCAAACTAGGACTGCCAATGAAGAATGCGGATTATCGGGTAATGATCGCTTGTGGTGTAGTGATTGTAGCGAGCAGCACGGCAGCCCTGCTTTGAAAGTTTGCCAGCTCTCAGTCCTTGTCGGCGACTTGTCTGTAATGCTATGTCTGAGAGGCCATGTCCCTGCTACTCTGCCATCCTGCATGGCTGCACCAGCAGGTGATAGATGCCCGTCTCCCAAGCTTCCAGCTTCGGGGCTTAGCCACCTACCAGCAGGCTCCGGTTGTGGAAAGCACAGCATATCAAGGCGAGAGAGCAGGTGAGATCTCACCTTAAGATTGCTCCGACATCCCGTTTGGTTGCAGACTTCCCTGCCCGGCCTGCTTCTGTCAAGCAGCGGCGGGTCTCGGAGGTGCTCTCGACAATGCAGTGGTCTGTGCTCTCCCGAGATGTTTTCAGAGGTGTGCTGTGATTCTGGCTCATGATCCCTGATCGAATTCGCATTCGCGAACTGAGATCAAGACGACCTGCCACCGCAGCAAGATGGAGATTACATCTCTGACACCGTCCAGAACTCAGTACGTGGGTAGTAGGAAGGAGTCCATCTGATTTGCACGAAGCGAATTTGAATGCAAAGTTTTCCAGGCTTGGCCGATGCAGAGTCTGTATCCATGTCGTCTAGCCTTGCCAACTTAGCACCCATGAGACATCTTTAGACCAGGCCGGTCAATGACCAGATGTACGTCAGGCCAAACTGCTTATCCGAACTTAGTTTCCATGCGGAGGCAGTAGTCACACAAGCACCACACTTGAAGACGTTCTGCTCTTGTAGGTGGAGGCTGCACTTGTGGTTCAAAGACGTGCGCTCTCTGCTGGTCCGGACCCAAGACCAGCGAATGGACAGGAACGCCCCGAAAGCTTGAGGAGCCCCGTCATTCTGCGCAAACTCGGGGACAGCAACAAGCCACGAATCAATGATGCAAAACTCACCTGTTTCCTGGGGTGGGGCGGCTGCATTTGGTAAGGTGATGTAAGGTGCACGGTCGGGTCCTCGCAGAGACTGGGCACTCGCAACGTCTGTGGAAGGCCCCGGCTTTCGGTGGCTCGCCGAGGATCAGCCTGGAGGCAGGGAAGGTAGAGTGCGGTGGTGAGAGCGCCACACGACCTATGCACGTGAGGGGCCCTTCGTTGTGGAGGGCTACTCGCGCACTGGCCCTAGGTTCCTACAATCACGATCTTGCAGAGGTCCATTTGAATGCTTCAAGTTCTGATCCTTCAGCACAAAGCACAGCAGCATGCCTAGATTGGATTTCGCTTTCACCGTCGGTAAGCAAGCTTCACAGTGAGCACCATGCTACCCTCAAGGCACCCTGCATGTTTCGGCATATTAGTCCTTCGTCCTGAGGATATCAATTCGATCCTTGGTCTGCGGAGATAGCCTCTTGTCAGCACAGAATGACGGCCCAATTTTGATTGTGCGCGGAGTGGCACAGTGGCTGCACAAGAATGGGCACCTCGCCCAGGTCAAGCACACCATTGCTCAAGCCCCGGTTGATGCCAGTTCACGCAGCCAGTTGCACGATCAGCTCGCTGTCACCTGAAGTCGGGAACTCCGCTCAGGACATCACGAATCCACCCATGTACCTTTCAGACCTGGCTGGAGTCTAAGCTGTGAAGCTCCGAGAGCGCTTTGACATGGTTGCCAAGTCAGGTGGCACAGTACTCTCCCATGCCTTCGTGGATGATGCCAGTCAGCACAGGCCCGCCAACTTGACGAGAGAGCGCAGTGGGGGGAGTCGGGTCTGCTTTGTGGCTGTTCTTTTGCGCGGTTTGTGATCTTTTACTAACTTGCTGGCCTCTCTTGGCGACGGTTGGTGACAGATGATTTTCTGATTTAATGAAACAAACACACCTCAAGGTAGAGCTGCCTGCATCGGAAGTCGGATTGGAGGATTGGAATGGGGATAATTGGTTCGAGTGCAACTTGTTGGGGACATTTCCTGCCTAGGGGTAGCCGCTTGTAACATCGTTGAACCGAGCAACGTGGAGTCCGAAGCAAAAGCCCCATGAAGCTCTTCACCTGTCAGGCCCCCTGGGCGTCCCAAGCCTCACGCGCGCGTGGCCGTGTTCTCACAGATGTGTCAATTTCGGAGTGTGGCGCATGCAGTGTGTGATTCACCGGTTGAAGTTTTATTAACTACTCAGAAGCCGTCTCGCCGCTGGTGAATGCAAGGCGACTACTTGAGTTGACTAGAGTCGGCGACCAGAGTCCCCAGAGATGCGAGCAATACTTGTTGCGTGGCACAGAGCTCAGGCCCATGCACTTCCAGAGCTCTGGTGGGGAGGAGAAGGCTAGAGTGTCGACTCACCTAGCAGGGTTGTCACGACGATGCCCCACGAGGCTCACATGGAAATTGGACGAGGGACATGACAAACCACCCAGTAACTCTAGCAATCTATGGAGCACATGCTCCCCATATTCTTCGCTGTGTCTTGTACATCTGGGAGACCAGCTGTAGGCTGACAGGAGGCGGATGAGCCAAGCTGACCCGGTAGTTCCGTCTGTGAGGCATCGGCACCGTTAACAGGTGTGTCCGACTCAGTGTTGATCCCTCGTGAAGTGCGCTGTGCCTGCTCGTAGCTGATCTTCACTCGGTCGACCTGCCTTCGTAAAATTAGAAACATACCCTCTTGTGACAGACTCAGCTTCCGCTTGATGCTCTGCGAGCACGCCTGTCGAAATCCGAGTCCACTGCGCCTAGCGCCCGCAGCTCCGGCACGAGCCTGGGGCCTACACCGGACCAGTTGAATCGAACCCGTCAACGCTGTGCTGGTAGAGAGCTTCCCTCACACTTTAGCGAGGTCCTCGCTCAGACACTGCTCGGGGAGCAGGCTTGACAAATGAAAGTCCTCTGGCACCATGAGCTGATATGCAATCAGTCACAAGCACATGCACCAGATCATCTCACGTCCAACTTGTGCGTGGAGCGTCACATCATCCCTTGCCAGGGTCTGGGGCTGGGGATGATACGGATAAGAGAGAAGCACATGTAAGTAGGGTCCTCCACTCGGACATCTTGCGGCTGAGGCTGCTGCCATGATAATCCTTTTGGCCCGCAAGTACACAATTCCGCGTGAACGCCCTGTGTGTGCTAGGGATAATGAGGGTAACCTTGCAACCTCGTGAAACTCCCCACTTTTCCCTCGGAACTTTCGTCCTAATACCCTGGACAACCTGTCCGGAGCGCTGGGAGTCCCAACCGCAATGGCTAAAGCTGCGGGCAAGCCTTCATCTCACAAGATCTGCATCTTGACTGCGCATGGTCAGGGTTCAGGGTTTGGGTGGCCTGCAGAATCTATTTAGGCTGAGTGGCAGAGCTTGAGTCTGTTTGTTTGCAGACTTTGATTTACCTGGTTCTTGAACTTGAACTGAAATTTTGACAGCAGTTTGTTGTGACATTTGCCCCACACGGCCGCCCTTAGCAGGGACTGGGACTTGTAGAACCGTGCGGTAGATGCTGGGCCCTTGCAGAAACATGAGCACGCAAAACGCGTACTACCACCGCATCGTCAAACCTGCATTCTATCTGCGCAGGCCTGGCAGAAGTATCCATGTCAACGAACTGCTGACACGTCTAATGCGTGGAGTTTAGAGCCCCGACCTCAAAGGCGAGTTCAGCTTGGCTAAGTGACCTTCATGCGAAGACCCTTCTGCCCTGTGCTCGCAGCACAGGTTTGCCGGGTCTGCCGCCTCGATACTGGGCTGCGTCCAGGGTGGTGTGCATATCTTTGCTATTTCTTGCTGACAAGCTTGTAGAAGAGTTCTTTTTCAATGCTGGAAAAGCGTCGACAGGGCCAGGATCAGGTCGCTGCAGCATTCTGAAGCCATGCAGCGTGGATGCTGTAGGAAGCCATTGCCATACGCCATGGCATGCAATAGGAGATGCCGCTCAAGTAAAGCTTCAGATCAGAATCCGAAAGTCGATCCTTGCAAGGGCAGGAACGACCGAGGGTAAAGGAAGGACAAGTACTTGTAGGAACGAAGCCAGACCCGGCGAGAAGGAAGGGTGACGAGACGAATTGGACGAACAGGGAGGAAGCGCGCAAGAGGAGCAGGGGAAAACGGAAGGAAGAGCAGCGAGCGGCAGCTGACACACTATGTCAGACCGACGCCGGCAGCCGCAACCATGAACTTTCTCTCTGGGAGAGTTGGAGGGGTGAAGCTTAACTCTTGTTAGGTTCTGCTTATTGTCAAGTTTCGTCAAGCCACGATGTGCCGGCTAAGGAAGCCCAGAAGACCTGGGACTTGACTCGCAGGTGCTGGCGGAACATAGCGAGGCACGGATATGTGATCTAATTCAAGACCGTTTTTGACACCGACACACTTGTCTGCCTCTACCTTCCAGCATAAAGGCACTATCAAAATTGCAGCCCGTGGGTCCACCGGCACGTGTCACAGAAGCTTGTGCATTTCGACACCCTCACTCACCTCCAAGACTTTCACGACAGGCCAACGAGAGACAGATCGCAATTGGTGCCTCGACTCAGGAAGCAGATTGAATCTGCCAATCGGAACGGATATTCTGCGAGCGTTTTCATAACTTGTGCGAAGCATGCAAAAAGCCAGCTTGGTGCATCTCTGCCGGGTGCCAAGTGTGAGTGAGGTTACATGCCGGGAGTCGCGGAGTGTGCGCTCAAAGACAACTGTCTGGTATATGCCGATATCCGTGGCTACCAGGTGCCATGTCGGGTCCAGGCTTTGGGTCATGATTTGGTGAAGGGATGTGAGGGTCAGTGAGGGGATGTGATGTGTGCAGATGACTTGCTGGGTCCAGGATAAAGAGGCGCGGAAACCAATGACCGAGAAGTCTTTGTTTCGATGCCATTCCATGACGACCCTCGGCTGGCAATTGAAGTCGCCTTGATGGGATCGTGAGTTCTCATGTAACTCATTGACTCGCTACGGCTCAAGTTAGCATTTTGGCCTTCAGCAGCCGAGTGGCAGATTGCACTGCGATGTGCTGCACTCTTGCTTTCGCAGGAAGCCGATCACAGCAGTGGCATTGATGGCGTTGTGGGAGGCCGATTGAACAACTGCAAGGTTCAACTTTTAGAGAGGATGGATGGAAGGATTGCACGAGAGCGTTGCAGTGACAGTTGGGGAGGCGTCTCACCCAAGGCGGAAGGCCGTGAAAGCAGGGATACGGCATAGGAGAGTCAGACACTGTGCAGGAGGGTAAGCTGGGCTTGGATGACCCGGTCCACAAATACATTCCGGCTTTCCGCCACATGAAGGCCGGGCATGCTTGCTGCAGGCAGCAGCTAGTGACTAGCGTTTGCAAGTGCAGTTGATCTTCTGATTGCAACTTGCCCCAGGTCGCCAGGGGCAAGGTCCATGAAGATGCTTGCCGGCCGATTACACTGCGCCACCTGGTCACCCACACCTCCGGCTTGGGTAGCATGGCAAGCAAGCAGTGATCGCGATCGATGCTAGAGCTTGTCTTTTGATGAGGGATTGACAGTGTATGCTGCAGCATCTGCAGCGCTGCATGTCATCTGTCATCATGCACAGTCCAAGCAACATTGCTCCCACTGGTGCGACAATTGTCGTAGAGATCTGCCAGGTGTAACACCTGTGGGTATTGTCGCTCGGCGAAGCAAGACAGCAAACTTGACCTTGATGTGGATGGAGAGGTTATGGTCCTTCGCGGGAGCGAAAGTCCGAAAAGCTGGATGAGGGGCCGTACACCCGATTCGTCAAGCGTGTGGATGCCGGACTTGTCCCCAACTTGTGTCTTGGAAGGCAGCAGAAACAGTGAAGAGTCCAGTCAACTTATGCCTCAATATGGACTACAGACCGAGTGTGCTCCCAACAGATGTCATTGGCGCCGCATTAAGTACGGGCCAACAACATGCCAGTCAAACCAGATTGCAAAAGCCAGCTGATTCCAGTGACGGATCTCCGTTCAGTGTGAGCTTCTTCCAGGAAGAGCTTCTGCGACGAGCTCGCATCATTTCCGCTTCGATTTCATCCGGGAGAGAGGTGCTTTGCATGTCTTCATCCTTTGCGTCAGCGTTGAAATTCGGCAGTGGACATTGGGCTCTTCTTCACACTCGCAGCCTGTGTGTCTGGCCGTCTCAGTTCCTCGCAGCTTTGCCAACTTGAGTGAGCTCCGTGCTTCTCACTCTGTCTCTCACTCACGCTATCTCTCACTCACTCACTCACTCACTCACTCACTCACTCACTCACTCACTCTCTCTGTCTCTCTCGGACAGGTGGGAGTACTCTATGGGAATGGACGTGCTTGGCCGTGTGCTGGAGGTGGTGTCTGGAAGCTCAGCAGACCTTCATGCTCGGGCAGTAAGCAGTTCCCCGTTCTCGAATGAGCGGTCGCCTTGGGGCCAACTTGTTGGCTAGGATTCAGGGATTAGAGAAGTGAATGTGTGCTACCTGCCTGTTTCATGTTGTCCCGTTGTCCCTTATGTCAAATTACTCTTCAGAATCATTTTGCACAACATGTTGCGTGCACTACATCCCGAAACATCCAAGGCTGTGTGTTGAACTGCTTGTTGTAGGCAATACATCGAACGAGGTTTCTGCACAGGCTAATGATCTAATGTCCCGGGCTTTTTCCTGCTAATTTAAATTTGAACTGGATTGCGTCTCTTCCCTCTGTTTTCTTTTCAACAAAAGGGAACAGTCTTGGTGGCGCTGCACCCTTTCCCTGCACTGTCTACAGCACGCGTTGTTGATGAAGGATCGAAAGTGGGTATGTGTACAACGTCCGTGGAAAACTCAGGCTTCCGGAAGGGCCTGGCATCGAGGTGTAGTGTGGTATGTATAGTCTTCACGGCTTCCGGCACGGAGTTACTTGGACAATGCCACGGCCAAGCTGGTTTGTTGCTGTTGCATGTCACATGACGAACCGTTCAAGTACACCGACATGGAGAACTGTTTTAATCCGCGGGGGAGTGTCTTGGTGCTGCCCACTTTAAGGACTTTAGGGCCTTTAGGGGGTGTGTTGATGTCTTAAGGTTTCAGCTTGTCGAAGAGCTTTTGAGTTTGGGTTCGGGAGATTGCCTGTCTTCGCTCCTCGCCCCAGCCCCCATGCGCACACATCGTTGCCTCCTGCTTTCGGTCTCCATGGCTTTGTTGTACCTTAAATCTGTGATTCTGGTGATGCATGTGGTCTGCTGACCTCCATTGGAGCAAAGCCGACTTCAGCAGGCACAGGAGCCACGGCCAACTCTTTGTGGGGACCTTGCATATTGCCGCAGCCCGTGTTCGGTCAAGTCAATAAGCAGCAGCCGTAACGTCGATCTTTGTGGCAGGCATGCTGGCCAAGCTCGTGCTGGCAAGCTTGACGGCTTCGGCACTTGCAGACCCGGCAGTCTCATATTATCCAGCGAATGACTCGGCCGGTGCCATGATCGATGGTAGTGCACAGCTGCGGCGCCACTCCAACCAAAGTACTTATCGCGGCTCAGCTGTCAAGAAGGACCAGAGCACGCAGGCGAGCGCAACCATTTCTCCGAACGCGACTGAAGATCTGTCGGGCTTTGCCCAGCCCTCCCTCTTACGAGGTGGAGCCTCGAGAGCTGGATGGACTTGGCAGAAGACCTGCTGTTCGAAGTACCAGGTGAGAACCGAGAGCTACCAGACTGCGCAGGGGTACTTGAACCGGTGCTTACAGTACAGCCACTGTACGGGCTGGACCAAAGAGTGGTTGACCGGACCAGGCGAGATTCTTGTTTACTGTCAAGGAGGTTGTGAGGCCACGCTGCCGAAGTCCAATCCTTGATGCCCCGATAGGACATCTGAAGGGAGCATAGAAGGCACAGAGTGGCATCCGATGGTTTTGGCCGTGGCCTATGTCTAGCAGCAATGCCCAAGCCAACTCTTTGACGTGCAGTGAGGACCCAAGATCCTACTGACAGGAGTGGCGAGGAGGCAATGCCAACGGCTGTCTTCCTTGTTTCGAATTAATTCGTGTTCTTGGGCCGAGGCACCTGTCTCTGCGAGACAAGCTCGGAGCACCTCTTGCAACTTTCGGGCTTGCCTTTGCCTTTGCACATAGTGACTCGTGCCGACATGATCTGGCAGAAGCCGACATTGCAGTTGCCACTCCGATCCAGCCGGGGTGATGCTGTTCCCATTTCTGTGTCCCGAGGAGTCAGATTTGTTTTGTCCCATCCAATCAGGAATGCCTCTGGATCGCTTCTTCCGGAAGCGGATCTTCAAGAGGATTGGGATGAAAGACACAGCCTCTAAGCTGCAGCATGCCGGCGGTTACGTCACCCAGCTTGTCCAGAGCGACGATGATGAGTTCCCTTCGTCTGAGGCCTTTTCTGTCAGTGCTTTCCGTGCTCGTCGCCGCTTGACCGCGTACTATGCCGCTTGAATGCAGCGGTGATGACGGCTTGCAAGCCGCTTAGCTCTCTTTTGTTCCTCTGCGGCTTTCTACCCGGCCTGTAGTTTTCGAGGTGACGAAGGCACGGTCAAAGCACAGCATCTTGGCTCAGAAAAACGAAGCTTCAGGATGTCAAATGGCAAGCCCCGGGGACGGATGTGGCAGATATCGTCCCTGGCACGGTTGAGCAACTCCAGCTCAGATAATGTGCTGAATTCAACGGAGCACGTCCCTGCACTGCCTCGCAGTCGAGGAAAGACGAAGCTACCCAACAAGTTCTCCGCGAGACGCGCTTTTTGGACGGTTTGGCAGTGGTTCAACTGTTGTGCTGACTGTTTTTGCTTTCAGTTTTTTTGAGCAACACCATAGCAGCGGCCATGCGCAGTAAATGCATCGGCGAAGGTGTATTTCTATATATATATATATGTATAATATATATATATAACACTACATACATAGTGGCGGACGCAAATAAAGGCTGATGGCCGCCATCCGCAGTTCAGCGCATGGGTACGTGGCCGATCGCTGCGAGTGCTGTCGGGAGGTTGTGCCCTCAGTCTACCGTCCGACTGTCACTGCGACAGGGGCTAGAATTCACGCATGGGTTTTTAGCTTGCTTGATGGCCACGCTTTTTATGCCTCAAGCCTTGATGATGACTGGAGAGGTTGCTGTGCCATTTGTGGCGAACTCCCTGCAACGCATGAGCAGTCTGGGGACTAGTTGTTTCTACACCGAGGTGGCATCTGCGGATCTTTCGCAGGCACGGAAGCTCTTGTCTGCAGCAGTGATGGAAGCTGCACTGACTGACGCCGTAGTCATTGTCAGTATCATGATGGACACGGGCACAGTCGTTCGAAGGCCGTGCAAATTTGTTCCCCTTCTGAGTTTCTCTTAGGCATAAATACGTCGATGCAGACGCAAGCCTAGCACCTGCCTCCACACTTTGTCACGGCTAAGCGCTTCCAGGCGGACTCTTGTCGTCGCTTCGAGATCAGGCGCTATTCTGCGCGGCGTTGCTAAACGGAGGCTTGGTGGTGCGCCATCATGGCATCTCTCCACCTTCCAATTCAATCCGCTTTTAGAACCTGCTGGTACAGGTGCCGAAGCATTGGTCACTGCAATCATAGCTCATCGCACACGCAATCTTACTGCCAATACTCATGAGATCGTGTTGAAAGGCGCGGACACCAGTCAAAACTTAATGGACGAAGCGCAAGGCTACTCACACGCCAGCGGTCGACGAGTACTGGAGCCCGGAACGGTTAGGATGCTATGCCGCGCTGCTTGTCCAAGGGTGATGCCAATGTAGAATGGGGCTTCAGTGAAAGCATGTAAATGTAAACTTGGAGTGGTTTCCTCTCTGCCGGTTGGCCTGTCTGATTCAAGCGCGGAGGATGAATCAGTGTGGTGTGTGGTAGGCAGGGTGAGGCATGGAGATGGAACAAGGCTTTGGTGATCGGCCGAGGATTGGCTTCGTATGAAGTCTGTCGCAGACAAAGATGTTCTCCCTGGGTGGGGCATGCAACTTGACGAACATCTGTGTTCAGGTTGGGTGGCAACAAGCTTTTGTAGACATGCCAAACAACACTTCAACCTCTTGCGGTATGGGAGCTACTGGAGATATCTGCAGCGCTGCAAGGCATTCTATGGGTATTGGATGGTGTCCTGTCGGCCATTGGATTCCTGAACTTCACGAGCTGCCTGGCTTGAAGCAAGATGGTGCTTTCCAATCTCTTCCCAGGAAGTCCTGGCATGGAGGTGGCTGCTGGCTGCATCCGTGTACGGCTGTCCCTACCGAGGATGTTTATGGGTGGAATAACTACGTCTTGGTCCATCAACTTCAGCGCGAAGATCATCCAAGTGCCCTCGGTTCAGATAGCTTGCATACTCGTTGTGTCATGCGGACCGTCAGTAATGCCGTAAAAATTCGGTGCAAGCTTCACGTCATGTCTCCTGGGCTCCTGAAGAAAACCGCTTGAGAACTCAAGGCACGGCCGCCTGCTGACAGTTCCATTTTGTTCTTCTGAGGTCACAATGACCTCCAGCTCTTGCGATGCTGATGTCCATGGATGGGATCATCGAAGGGACGACCTCGACGGTTGCATCAAGCATGCGTTGAAGGCCTTGGTGCTCCGACCATGCGGCGCCAACGTCGTCAATTCAAGCTGTTGTGCTTATAGTCACTGTCCAGAAGCTGGTAAGTATACTTTAGTACACTGTCAGGGTTTTGGCTGAAGATGACATGGACCCTGGAAGTAGCAGCGCCTCGCGCTCATTGCACGGCTCTTGTGATGAAGGTCTGCAAACGAAAGCAGAAGCATCTGCGCATGCATCGCCGAAAGTGTTCGAGGAGAAAGATGGCGAGATCGCGGTTTCTTGGGCGGCACATATTTCATTCGGGGTCTTAGTGTGACACTACTCGCCCCTCAACAGTCGGGGGCGCTAACGCGCTCGGTGAGGGGGGACTCCCCCTCACCCGAGCCCTTGCGAAAGAAAGAGAGAGTACAGTGGTGGAGCTAAGTCGCATCATGTTTTTTCCACACTGGGAGGAAGCACCCACATGGTCGCATCACCGAGCGTCTACTTGAGGATTCGTGATCACGTTGATTTGGGATTGTTGAGGTTTGATTGCTGAAGCTGAACTTACAGCAATGTACGTGGAGAATCGTTCTTTCTGTATTGCTGGGGGCTGGTTGCCTTTAGTGCGTGCTTGTGGAATCGAGCGTCTACATGGGGAATAGCTGGTTCTGCTGTGTTATGATTCGCCGACGTGCGTCTTGCCCGGGTGCTTCCCAAATGGGACTGATGTTTGCCTTGAGTGCGTGCTTGTGAAATCGAGCATCTACATGGGGAATAGCTGGTTCTGCTGCGTTATGATTCTACCGACGTGTGTCTTGCGTGGATTTAGCTCCATCACTGTAGCCATTTTGGCTCAAGTACTGCGCCTTTGCTTGGGGGCCTGTGCCGCTCCGTTGCATCGGGGGGAGGAGGTGTGCGGTTGACTCGGAGTTGTAAGTCACACCTTTCTCAGGCCAGCCATTTAATTACTCAAGAGGCCCAAGGGGTGATCGTTTCCCCTGCACCCGACTGCGGCCCTCGCAGGAGGTGGCAAAGGGCCAGTGGGGCAACGGGGCATACTACAGTTTGGTGGAACTTTCTCTCCGCCCAGGGCCTTGTGCACATCTATGGCGAGCTCATTGAAAAGGGTCTGCGGGGCAGTGGCAAAGCCAAAAATTGCCTGCAAAGCGGGGCGAACTGGTGGCACAACGACCAAGAACGCCCAGCCGAAGCCCAACCAGGAAAAGGAGGAGGAGGAGGAGAGCACAAGCGAGGGGGGCGATTTCTAGCCCAAGCTAGGGGGACGTTCGACATGTCACACATTACCTGTTGTTGTGTTTCTACTTTGGGGGCTGCGTATATGCTTGAACTCTTCCTCTTGCACTGCAAAGCATCCTTGTGCCGAGGGGGAGCTCAATCCTAACTAGTGACATACATTTTTCAACCCAACCTAATTTTGCGCCGCGTTTTGCGCTGTACCTCTCATAGGGTGACCGGCTGTCCGTCGATATTCCCCCTCCTGAGCACGATCTTTTGGAAAGCACGGCATAGGCAAAACATGCCTCGATCGTGCAAGTATATGTACAAGGACACGAGGAAAACCTGCCTTCGTGTCGAGCGTTTCTCTCAGCTCCCTCCGCAACAGTCGGGGGCGCCAACGGCGCGCGGGCAGAGGGGGAAACCTCTCTGCCCCTAGCCCTGCCGAAAGAAAGAGAGAGAAGCGCGCCTTGTGGGGTTGGCCTTCGGGCCGGGGGGTCACGACTCCCAAACCCCTAGCAAGCAAGCAAGAGAGAGAGAGAGAGAGAGAGAGAGAGAGAGAGAGAGAGACCCAAGGACTGCAGCTGCGCGTTCGCGTGCGGGGGGAGGAGCTTGACCTGCCCCGAACCCCATGGCTCGTAGAGAGAGAGAGAGAGAGAGAGAGAGTGGTAGCCATTTTGGCTCAAGCCGTGAGTGGTTCAAGAGACCGGGGAAGCTTCCGCCTTTCTCTCTTTCCTCCTTCTCTCCTCCGTTACCGCTGAAACCGGTCTCTCAACCCGGGGGCCTTCGCATCTCTCCTTCGGCCTCTCTCTCTTAGCGATTGCTGCCGGGGGAGTACGGCTTGATCGTGCTGTACCTGCCGCGGGTCCGGGACAAGGACATAGTCGAGAGTGCAGCAGCAGGGCATCAGCACTGGGGCGGGGGAGGGTGTGCACAGCTACCTCTTCGAGAAGTACCCAGGACTGCCTCTACGAAACGAAAACTGATCTCTGCTTCGCTGGGTGGGGGAGAACTTGTACCTGACGATCGTGCGCTATCTGCAGACCGACGACCTAGCAAACCATGCCGGTGAATAGCGCTACAAGCAGTGGCGGGGGGCTGGGTCCCCAAACCGAGATGCATGTGGACCAGTCTGGAGTGCAACAACATCGCAAAAGACCTGCCGGGGAAGGGGAACCAGCCATTACCCTCAGCGCCATCCAAGAGACCTTCCGCAGCGAACTGGTGGCTGCAGTGGGGGGAATGCAAACAGACATCCGCACTCTGACAGGACGCATGGACCAGGTGGAGGGGCAGGTCACAACTAAACTCCAGCAGACAATCAACCTCCTCGACGACATGACGTCCAAGTACTACAAGCAGGAAAGCATTTTACAACAACTACAAGAAGCAGACCGGGAATTTGATGAGAGGCTGCGCAGACTCGAGCAAAAAGGGGGGAGCAGCGAAGCAGACCCTTCCGGAGCAAGCACCACCGACGCAGGGGAGGAGAGACGGGCTGCACTGATCCTGGGGGGGTGGGACCCCGAAAACCCAGCAGCGGACACCCTTCGCGAAGCCAAACAACTTCTACAAAATCTGGCGGTGGACCTGGACATCGGGGAGGCCTTTGTACCCGGCATTCGCCGGGGGTATGCGCTGCTACCTGTACCAGATCGCCCTGGGGAATCATCCGATGACAGACGCAAACGCGTGCAGGCAGCGATCACCCGCGTCAGAACAGCGGCGGTCGAAGTGGGGTACAAACCCACGGGGGAACCGAAGCTGGCCTGGATCGCCATCTCCCAAAGCCCGGAGCGCCGACGCAGAGCAAAATTGGCGGGGAAGGTCAAGCGATTGTGGCTAAGCCAAGGGGGGGGACACGGCCGCATAGAAGTGGAATTTGGCACCGGAAGCACGTGGGTCAACAACGTCAAGACCAGCTCCGCCACCACAGCAAGACCACCGACAGCAGAGGAAGCAGGGGGAGGATGGGTGGATATTGCTGCTATCGCTCGCCAATTGGGGCGCAACGAGCAAGAGCTGCGGAGGGCATGGGAGCCCCTGGCAGCAGAGCTTCGCTGAACTGGCATCGATGAGTTTCACCCCCACCCAGACCGTGAAGCGGTACAAGGGGGGAAAAGACACACTGTCACAGAATTCGACGTCTTCTCCTGGAACGTCGGGGGACTTACGGCCGAAAACGCGCTGGAAGTTCTCGAGTCATTCCGGGGACACCCGCAGATGCAAAACATTGAGGTGGTTTTCCTGCAGGAAGTTATCCTCAGACCTGGGACCCTTCATAGGGAGAGTGACAACTGGAGCATGGTGGCCAGCAAACAAGCAACCGAATGGAGAGGGGTTGGGAT